TGACAATTGTAATTTTATAGGCATAAGAAATAGTTATCAAAAGAAATAAGTACCTATTTAAAAAGGAAATAAATAAATAATTATTTAAAAATATTTTTGTTTTTATAAATAATAATTTATATTTTTGGACTTTTAATCTGACAATAAAAATGTGTCTTGGAATTTTTTTCAAATGKAATTTTTGTCCTCGGACTTTTCGTCCGAGATTTCACACAAGTATGTAATGCAATGTAAAAAAACACAAAAAATACGTACTTATAAATTGATTAKTTTCATTTTGGTTAAATGTTTCTAAAAATATTAGAAAATTAGAAATAATATTTAGCTGACAAGATATTTATATGTAATATATATAAATAGATAGAAAGATATTGCAGATATACATGCAACAACCATACTATTCTACGAAAACAATTTAATGAAAGAAATATTATTTTTTTTTAGTATAACAACCTTAAGTTATAATTAGGTTAATAAACTTCTTTCTTCAACACTTTATGCAAGAATAGTGGTAATGCATTTTTTTAGATAATCAAGTCACGACACCATTGTCTTTTTAGTTTTTTTATGGGGATTTTCTGTGATGTATAGGTTGCTATTGAATCGTTTATAGTGAAGCTTGAATAATTAAGTGACGATGAGTAAATTATGATCAGAGTGAAGGGCATAATTGGAAACACAGAACGGATCTTTAGAGATATCGTGAAAAAATATAAAATGTAACCTTCAAAAATGTATGTTAAATTAGGACCATTGTATAGATTTCAGTGCCTGGTTGAGCAAGCATAATACGCTTAGCACTTTTTGGGATTTCCGTATGACCACTAGGTGCTCTTTGGAATTTTCAMTTTACCACCCGTCACTTTGGGGTTCTATGCACTTTACCCCCTGGTGGACGGAAAAAGGTCGCACTTGAGACCAGCAAAACAAATTTATGATGTAATATCACTAGATMTATTTCATCTCCTTCTAGCTCCAATGAGTTATGYAYTAATTAATCTTTAACATAACCATTATGAGTTAGAAATAATATTTAATTTACAGCATATTAATATTCGATAACCTTTTACGATTCACAACTACAATATTATATTTGGTTATGTTTTCATTGCGGTATAATTTATCTTTGCTATCCATTACACTTAGCTTAGATTAAACTTTCACAAGATTTTATTACAATTTTGTAACAAAATGTAACTACGTTTTACGAATAATACGTGAGTAGTAAGTGGGGCACTTGAGCACACTTTTCCTAAAAATATCAGKAAAAGATCACAAGATTGATTTTCATCAGAAAATCATCAGAAAATGTAAACTTTATCAGAAACGCTCGCTTTATCAGAAATAGAACACAAAATGAAATAAATCATAAAAAGATCAGTA